CCATCTTTCCAAGCAGCCTCCATGTCTCCAGTGTCTTCTTCCCCACTTGGAGCTGAACCCAGAAGGGCATTTCTTTCAACATGACAAAAGTAGTTTTCCCAGTTGGCAACTCATGGGAAAAACATGCTAAGGAATGGTGCCTGAATTAGGCTCTACACTGCGCTGCTGCAGGGGGCCTTCAGTGTGGAGGGACTTCCACTCACCATATCTGCCAGTTAATACTCTCAAAATATTTGTGTGCCTCCTTGTGTGATTATCTAGATACTATAGCAGCAAATATTATTCTGTTATAAAGACAGAATGTTGCCACAGGAAATGTTAGTTCAATTCAACATTCTAGAGTGGATAGTGAGAAAAGGTCCTCAATGTTAGAGACTGAGGAGCCAACCAAAGCAATAATAAGATGTGTTCATCTTCAAGATGCTGTATTGCATCTGTTTTAATTATATGTCTTCCTCTCAATATTACTTAAGCATGTTTAGAAAAACTGCAGGAGCAGCACCTCTAGAAAGAACTTTCAAAAGTGGCTTATACTGGCTCTCCTTGAAATATGACACTAGCTGCAGTATATTCCTAAAAGTTATTGACCTAGAACAATGTATAATGGGAGGATTTGGGGGGAGGGGGCATAGATCTTAATATAGTCAATATATGGATTAAATGTATCTGATGCATTTTTCACCTTTTCTTATCCAAGCATGTTATTTCTTGACACAAAATTCTCTTTCTTGTTTCCAGAAATTAAGCTCCCATCTAGTGGCCATACACAGCACTGCTGTTATCCATTTGAGCGTAACAAGGTACATTTTTTTCAACAGCACTAAGTTAGAAGACTGAAATGAATGAATGTTATTATACAAAACTTTTACTTTGCTGTTGTTGATGCACATCTTATATATCCAACAATGCTGACAGCAAGCCTGCAGTTACATGATAGGAAGACTTAAAACTCTACTGCAGTATCCTGTGCTTATGAATGCTACTTATTTCTAAATGCTGCTTCATACTCAGAAAATATGGAAAGGCTCTTCAATGTTTGCCAGCTTGTTATGCTACCAGGATTTGCAATACAGGGCTTGCTGTAGCACCACACCAATCCAAAGGGCTTTCTCCCTTGTTTTCATGGAGTGCTGGAAACTGACTAGGAATGTGAAGGTTTAGATACATTCAGTGCAAGCTGGAAGCAGAGTGAGCAGTGACTATCTGGCATTCTCAAAGCTCAATTATTGGCTGGTTTAGACTGAGGAATAATCAATTTAAGATATTCCCTGCAAGTGGTATAATTTAATCCTCAGTTA